CTTTAAGTGCATCAAAGCTCACAGAAAATGTATCTTAGGGATGTCCGATGGGTATTCCGAGATCACACATTGGGAGAGGTTTCAAGTACTGTAGATGCGCATTCCCAATTGCTGATTGCTAATATCAAGTTAGTTGCTTATTTTCTAACTTGATGTTTTTTTTTTGCAGTTCTTCAATCAATAATTTTTAGTAATGTTACGGGAAGCAATGCTGGCGAATACACATGTGTTATGCAAAAAGGTGATCAGGAGAAACGCCTAAAACAAATCATCTCGGTAAAGCTCGTTTCACTCTTTTCTTTGTAATTGTTATCCCCATGGGCCCCAACTATAGTATCTGTTTGCTTCTAAGGTTGTGAAGACTGTAAAACCATACCACACTCAATCCGATCCTGAAAAGCCAAGGTTTTTGGAATATGGCAAGCCTGCAGAATTCGAATGTAATATCGATGGCACTCCCCGTCCAGATTTCAAATGGTAAGTAGATCTAAATAAGGTTTCTTGTATGACGAAATTCGAAGAATTTAGGCTCAAAGATGGTAAACCATACGAAGGTGGCGAGCTATCTCCAGACAATAGACGACTACACATAGCTAGAGTCGCTGCTGAAGACAAAGGAGAGTTTGAATGTGTGGCCACGAACAGAGCAGGCACAAGTGTATACAAGTTTGCCGCCAGGGTAAGTCTTTAAGTGGGAAAAAAATTTACTTTCTCCTCGATCTGGGCATATTGTTTGTATATTTTGAAAAACAACGCCGTCAAATTTAGGTTGAAGGAGCCCCAAAACGAGTTTCGAGTTCGTTTCTCTTCATGATCTTCATGTTGCTGCTAGGATTGCTCTGCTGCTTAATTACTGCGTTGGTGCTGTATTTCAAGCAAAGAAAGAAGGCCATTGAGCAGGAAAGGTATAGACATCTACACTAGTCACTCAAGCATCTCCGACATTTCTGTTTTTTTTTCTACAAGTACAGGTTCGACTGATGATAGGGTGTAGTCTATATTGAAAAGCTTGAATGGCCTTACTTTTGGAACAATCATTGCTTTAGAATCTAAAGTGTGAAGTTTTTTCCCTGTTTTATCTCTATAGATCTTTACATATATCTCCTGGCCCCCTCATGGTTTTCTTTTGCCAATTGGCGCATGGCAAGAATCTAACAAATCGTAAAACGCAGAAGTATTTTATAAAATTGAAATTATTCGGTGTATTGTGAACAATTAAAGAGTAACAAACAGAGTACGGAAGCTGACATGGAGTAAAATGATAATATTATTTTTTTGTGATATGCCGTCTTTCTTGTCGTAGGCCTAAATCGTCTAGAATCAAAATCAACGGAACAAGTTCTATTTTTCTCTGTAGTTGACATAAGCTTATGATTTCTGTCGGCTTTATACTTCTAAATCAGGAATTTTGCGCATCACATCATTGTATTATGTTTCTTTTTTTTAGAGCGTTGAACGTCCTTTACGAACAACTGATGAAAACTGCTGAAGGTCCACCACCAAGTGGTCCAAAATTGCCACTTGATCAGCGTGTTTATCAACTCCCATACAATCGCCAATATGAGCTTGAAAGGGAGAATCTTGAAATTGGAAACAGGGTAACCTATTTTTATGTCGCTCAAACTCTTTAAACGTTCTTTCTTTTGCCATCCCCACAAAAT